TATATATAATTACATCTTTTCGTTTAATTTCTTTTTCTTCCTTTGGTGATATTATCGTTCTCGTCGTGCGTTTAATATTTTGTTTTTGATGACACTGATTTCTTAAACCGAGAAAAATCTACCGTCGGCAATTTTGTGAACGAAAGACGACATGAATGAATGCAAAGAAATAATTATATTGGGCATGTCTAAAATTACGAACAGGATTCATGTGGTTTACGCCAACTCGTTATTAATAGTCTTAATTTTGAGCACCTGACCGTGGACTATGTTCTTTCTTCTTTGGGTTCGACACAACAATAAGACAAATTAACATTTTCTTGTTGTTGTTGTTGTTGTTTTTATTATTATTATTATTATTATTATTATTATTATTATTATTATTTCTTTTCATTTCTGTTCTTGTATAGACATTTCCTTCCGGGTCACAATTAGAGGTTTAAGGTAAGAAATGGCATCATGACATTTTTCACTTCACATTGGTGTAAAACACAGCAATATAAAAAACGAAACACATTTTAAATAAATAATGTTATTATTATTATTATTATTATTATTATTATTATTATTATTGTTGTTGTTGTTGTTGTTGTTGTTGTTATTATTATTTCTGTTGCATGCACATTTCCTTCCGGGTCCCAACCAGAGACCTAATGTAAGAAATGGCTTTATGGCATTTTCCACTGATCATTTTTGTAAAAAGCACCGCCACCCAATATAAAGCACTTTGTAAGGTGTGAATGGGTATTAATATTTTCTCCCTCAACTACTGATTCAGGACGATGTTCATTATTTGCAGATTTCTTCTTTTTTTTTTTATCCCGTAAAAATGACATATCTTACTATGCAGATAATGACAAAGCTTTTCATTAAATCTTGAGATGATTTATCGTCCTAATGTATTGGTCAGAGAACCTACATATTATTATTATTATTAGTAGTAGTAGTAGTAGTAGTAGTAGTTGTAGTAGATACTAATTTCCCGGTTTTCCTATTTGAAATTTCTAATGAATCTTAATTAATGAGCAAGCTCATGGCAAGTTCTGTGACAATAAAATATCCGTAGAAATTCCCCTATAGCATCGATAAATATTTGATCCTGAGCAAAATATTGCAATAACAATCATAAATCTTTCTGCTGGTCGTTATTTTAAGAAGTAAGGGAGTACAAATGAAAACATTTGAAACTGACAAATTTTTTTCCATTGAACTGAAACAGAAGTTAAACGCTTTCATCTACACTTTGTCCTTTTTTTCTTTCAAGCCATTCGAAGGTGTTTAGTGGCTTAAACTTTCTTTAAAATTTATATTTGTATACATAGATAATATTTAAGTAAAGGTAAAATGTGTGACCAAATTAAATGGAGAGGCTGAAAAACTAGTCTTTTTGTCACAAGTGTCAAATTCAGTCAACTCACGGAACAACCTTCCAAATATAAAGAAGAAATCGGTACAAAATGCGTTGGGTTCTGTGAATATATGAGAATGTGTCTGAGAATTCCAGCAGTATAGGTCCATAAATTGTCACTTTCTTGGGGATGTGGGAAGTAACCAGGAGGGCTATATTTTGCATTTCTGCCAAATTCTGTCCACATCGTTGACGCAAGTTATTTAATCATATATATATATATATATATATATATATATATATATTTAAATTGATTTAAAATATGTTTTTTTTCTACACAGTTCAACCATGTTTCAAAATAAACTAAAACCCCGAATTTAATTTTGCAATTAAATTAAAGCATTAATTCCATTTCATCTTCAAGCAAATTTTGGAGTAACTTTTAAAAATTACCGGGTTTTAAAGACACAGCTAAAATCACGTTTCCATGGTTACAGAATATTCTACTTAAATTGAACAAGGGATGTCTAGATGTTTAGCTGTGTCTTTAAAACCCGGTAATTTTTAAAAGTTACTCAAAATTCGCTTGAAGATGAAATGGAATTAATGCTTTTAATTTAATTGCAAAATTAAATTGAGGTTTTAGCCTCTATTTTGAAACATGGTTGAACTGTGTAGCGAAAAAAACCATATTTTAAATCAATTAATTTATAATATTAATGCTCTGTAAATTTACATTGAGCACTATTTTGTAAAAATAAAAATATCTATAAGAACACCGGATTTTATATCTTACTGTTTCTTTTTTTTTTTTATTTATATATATATATATATATATATATATATATATAGAAAAAGTTGCAAATCAAAAAATTATAATGTTTTTTTTTTTATGAAAGTATTTATTTATTCATATATATATTTGATATTTCAGATTGACCTCAATCTTTCTTCAGAAATAACTGTTTGTTACAAATAAATTAAAATTTATATTTTTTTAATTTGCAACTTTTTCTATATGTACATATTAAGAAAGTATACGTGGGTTCTCATTATGCTATATATATATATATATATATATATATATATATATATATATATATATGCGATTCTAGCGCACCAACTGAACGAGAACAATCTACACCCGTGAACTAAATAAAGGGCTCAAAAATTCCAACGTATATCACCTGAAGAAAGCCGAAGCGTATAACAGAAGAAACGTCGTGAATCTGGTAATAAAGGTGAGGACAACAATCCGAACAATGTAAATATAGAAAATAGTTACAATACTTCATCTCAGAAATATAGACAGATCCTGAAGAAGACCGGAACATACAAAATCCGAAACGTCGTGACTATGCCAATAATGATGAGGACAAAAATCCGAAAAATGTAAACAGTGTAAATAGTTATTATACCTCATCTCAGAAATATAGACAGATCCTGAAGAAGATCGGAACATACAACAACCGAAACATCGTGAATAGGGGACAACAGATACTCATATTCATTATTATTCTTATTGACAAATTGAGTGGCGTAAATTTTCAATATTTTATAAAACTAAGAGAAGATCGTGATTAAAGAAAAGAAAAAGAAAATAAGACAGTGTTTATGAATACTTATCTGTATTTCGGCAATATGTCTGTCTATTTCAAGTTATGTTTAAAAATTGCTTAAAACTATTTTAAAAAGACTTTACACAAACGATGCTTATCTTGAAAAAGCAGTTGTGATAAATCAATGCGACAGAATGAATGAAACTCAAATGCGTGTCTAGAATGCAAATGAAACGTGAGTAATAGGATGATGATCGTAATCACCTTGAAATTATTATTATTATTATTATTATTATTTCTTATATTATCTACTTATTCATTTTCCTTAACATGAAGTTTTATTGTTTTACTTTGCTTTCTTTTTAATTATTATTACTATTATTTATTCTCAAGATCAAAAATGACTTCATGACACCTTTTCACATATAAATTTAGATAAAACTATTATTATTATTATTAGTAGTAGTAGTAGTATTAGTAGTAGTAGTAGTAATAGTAGTAGTTTTAGTTTTATTTTTTTAATCATTTCACCCAAAAGAAGAAGTGAATGGTACGCAGGGGATTAAAATGAGTAAAGTTATGGGGCGGGGGTCTGAAGGTTCTCCAGAGTTCTTAAAAACAAGAACTACAGAGGAAGACTTCCAACAACCTGGGAAGCAGGGAGTAGCGTGGCAATAGTTGTAGAGTTTGGAGAGAACTGGAGCCAGTTCGGGAGAAGTATTATTATTATTGGTGGTGGTGGTGTTGTTGTTTCCTTTAATTTTTGTTCCTTTAATTTTTTGTCTCCAACCAGAAACCTATGGTCAGCAATTGCACCATGACATTTTCCACTAAACATTTTTGTAAAAAAATAAATAAATAAATAAAAATAAAACAATCTGCAACCCATCTTATTTTTACATTGATAAAGCCCTTCGCAAAGCATGAGCTGTACTTTTGACAAAATTGTTTGTATTACTTTAAGGCATGAACTATGATCCCTTCACTGTGTCTATCATTACTTTATCATTATTATTGTTGTTGTTGTTATTATTATTATTATTATTATTATTGCTACTGTTGTGCTTGTGATTTTTAACATTATCATGATTAGGCCAATGATTATTAATAAGTAGTTTAATTAATTATGTAATGGTTTAACGTAATATTTAACAGATGCGATATTTTAAAAATATATTTCTTTTTAAATCTCCATATTTTAACCTTGACAGATTTATCGTTTTCATTTTTCTATATTATCTCCCAATTTTCTGTTATTTTAACGAATGTCAATACGAAAAGTAAAAAAAAAACATGAAAGTAATGAAAGAAAATTCTTATTCGCTGCAATTTTTACTTTTTATTCTGCTACTTTTTTTTCATTCGTATTAACATAATCATAACAGATGTGATCAAAGTCAGATTTTGGGGAGGTGGTGCCTCTTCTCATATTCTTGTTAATTCTTGACTTTTATGGCTATTATTAATAGAAAATACATGGAATTTTAGTCATTGAAATACTAAATAAAATATCATGTCCAAGAAAACGAAATTCTGACGTTTTTTTCCCGCCTCTTTAGCAGCAGTAGCAGCAGCAGCCAGTTTCCCCTGTCGTCTACTGTCGAATTTCTGCATTATGACTTCAATTGTTACTTTTAATATTATATAATTCCTTTTCGTGATTCTTTTTATTATTATTATCATTATTATTATTATTAGTAGTAGTAGTAGTAGTAGTAGTAGCAGTATTATTATTATTATTATTATTATTATTATTATTATTATTATTATTATTATTATTATTGGAGTTATGTTCAGTATTATGTCATTATTTTAGTAATTTTTTTTTCACATTTTCTTGAAATTTATCTTTATTCATATCCGTAATATTATGACGTGTAATTTTTAGTATTATTGTTGTTGTTGCTGCTGCTGTTGGTTTTCTTCATAAGAAGCTTATCTGTATCCCCTCCCCAACAACTCAACTTAAACCGACATTCACAAATTCGATGAATCATGTGACCTTGGACGGGAAAGGTTGCGACTTTTTTTTTTATTATTAAACATAAGAACTTACACGACAAAAGATTGCAGACAAAAATACGAACATAGACTGAGACAGATAGGCAGACAGACAAACAGATAGATAGATAGATAGATAGATAGATAGATAGATAGATAGATAGATAGATAGATTGGAATGCATAGCTGTATAGGTAGATAGATTGATTGATTTATTGGAATACCTATAGATAGATAGATAGATAGATAGATAGATAGATAGATAGATAGATAGATAGATTTGGTCGAGATCAAAACAAGCAAATAAAATGCGCGCAACATGACGACCTAACATGCGCAAGTGAGATATTTGCGTGGTCGTCTATAGCGATTTTTACGAGCGCGTCAATAACAGCAAACGCGTTCAGGAAACTTTCATTGCAGATAGATTTTACTTAAAGAAACGATTAATTAGCTTATCTTCATACCCTGCCTGGTGGCAAACGCTACTGGTGGCGCCAGGGGTGGCGGTCCCGCCATAGCCACCGAAACCGTGAGATCACCCCTGGTCGGCGGCTGATGAAGACAGGGTATCGCACGTGCTAACACACGTTGTATGTTAATATATATATATATATATATATATATATATATATATATATATATATATATATATATATATATATATATTTTGCGTGTGTGTGCATTTGTGTCCGTGAGTGTATTTACGGGCTTAAGTTCACATATGTAGGAATTTATAATTATTTGGAGAAGAATCATTTAATAATTTAATGTATGAGAATATGTATGAGTGCTTCTGTGATATTTATTTGGGGAAGATGCCTTTGACTATTCAATGTATGAACATATTTATACAGTACAGTTCAAAAGTTTGAAGCAACCTCCATAAATATCATGAGTGAAAAGAGTCATTGAAAAAAATGGAATCAGTTATCAAACTCGTACTTTGAGAAACTTTTGCAACGAATGCCAAAAATATTGTGCTGCAGTAATCAAAACTGAAGGAGGATATTTTGACGAGAGCAAAATTTAATCATAATTTTTTTAAAAACTTTTTTGTCACGAGAAAAATCTCTAATAAAAAACCATACTTTTTAACCATGTATATTACTTTTCTCTTAATTAATGTAGTTACATACCGTAACTATAAACACTATGTCGCAATTCTCATAAATATGTTGGATATTATTGTAAGTGGGGGTAATATGCTGTCTTAGTAGTTCACCATTAGCAGTGGTTTACCTACTTCACACCGTTGGCGAGTATTGCATTTTTTCTTGAGACAGATAGGCAGATAGATAAGAAAGAGAATGCGATAGATAGATAGATAGATAGATAGATAGATGCAGAATGAGATAGATAGTTAGATACATAGTTAGATACATAGATAGAAAACTGATGGCGACACGCATATACAAACGCGTACAAACGCATATATATATATATATATATATATATATATATATATATATTGCATATGAAGGAAAATATTTTGCTAAAAGAAACATGTTGGCTGTCATTTAAAATCCAACCAACATCGTTGTCAAACTGGTTAAATGTGTGATTTACAGAGACCCCTTTATCTTACGACGCCGTCCACAATTACATTTACTTATAAAGATGATGTTATCAAAAATCATTTTCTGTGAATATCGAGGAAATTTTATGTCACTAATTCTTCTTCTACTCTGTGCTATGATCGTTCAGGGCGTAAGTGATCATGGCTCTCCACAATTTCCTATCCTTTGTAGTAAATTTATTCTATCCTAATTGCTTTTCTGCCAACCATTTACACAAGCTCATTAGTTAGATTATGCGATAATTTCCTCTGTCGCTCGGCCTTCAATATGTCTTGTGAGGGTCAAAATTTCTAAGCCTTCTTTCCTTATATGCCATAGAAATTAAACAGTATATTTATTTATTTACGTCTATCGGCCTGAATATTCAAGAAATCTTTTTAAAGAAAAATATGTACAGTCAGGTGAATAAATTAAAATTCATCATTTCCTTAGAAGTATATATATATATATATATATATATATATATATATATATATATATATATATATGGTACATAGGGACAGAAGATCATTATTTAAACATATATGATCAGACGTAATAGACATTCGGAGTCTGTTATATTTAACAATATATATCAATGTATATTTTTCCAGCCACCATTCTTTTAAACATTTTTCTTTGAATAAGACAGGCAAGGAAAATGTAATCATTTTTTTTTATTTAGTTTTTCCAACATTTTCACCTTTTTCCGTTTGGTGGGTTTAAGGGTGTGCATAATTTGTCCGTCCACTCTTCCAAGCGATTACAGCCACTTCTTTAACCATTTTGAAGGGGCTTTGACTTAGGTGTTTTTAATTTCTCTTCATGTTTAAGAAGTATTTTTTTGTTGTTTTGACGAGTAGGAGGACGACTGGAATAAGAATTTGCGGCTTTCTAAATCTTTCAAGAGATGATTACCACTGCTGAATAAGGTCAGGTTTATGATGCTTTATGTATGGGGACTTTCTCACAGCGAGATGTTTCCGGTAGTGTGATTTATACAGAACGATAGTATTTTCGACCAGAATTTTACTGATGGTTCCTTGTAAATTGTGGATATGTGATGCGTCTACTGAAGGTGGTTGTGGTATGTCCAATGTAGGTAATTAAGTCTTGAACTGCTCAATGAAAATGATATCCTATATTGGTCATAGCTAGTTAGGATTTGATATGTTTACATTGATTAGTATCAACAAGGTTTACCATTATCTACTTTCTGTAATAAAGTATAAGTTTTGATGGGATATTACGGCAGATATATGGCGTTTAATGATTTTTTGTATAGTGAATATATATATATATATATATATATATATATATATATATATATATATAGTCTTAAGATGTGCTATATTTATGGGATAAAGTGCTCAATATCAGAGATAGAGCGTGTGTAAATATAAAAGTGAACATAGAAGTCAACACTTAGAGGCGACATTCTGTTTCATGCTTGATGCAATCCTCAGGCCACGAATGCTACATATATATATATATATATATATATATATATATATATATATATATATATATATATATTGTAATTAATAAACAATAAAATCACAAATCACCTTATATGGAAAATGCTACGTACAAGAGGCAGGAGGTTGTGGAGAGCCATGATCGCCCACGTTCTGAAGGTTATACGTCACATACAAGAAGAAGCTTACTAATAAACTAACATATGTGTTTTAAGTACACTTGCTAGTGTATGTTTCTCTAAACACATTTGAAGATATTTGCATTATCCAAAAGGCAACACTTACTCAGAGCTATGTACAAGAGTCAAGAAGTTATGGAGAGCTATGATCGTCCATGTTCGGAATAAATTAACATATGCATTTTAAGTGTTCTTGTGTCTGTGGGCGTTTCTAAACACGTTTGAGTTTATTTGAAGTAGTCAAAAGTCAAATCTTACTCAGAACTACTTACAAGAATCAGAAAGATGTGGAGAGCCATAATCAGCCAGGTTCTGAAATGAAAGGACACACTGAAGAAGAAGAAGAAGAAGAAGAAGAAGAAGAAGAAGAAGAAGAAATGAGTGCATTAATCCATAAAATATTTCCTGATTATTTTAAAATCGAAAGCACCCCCGCTTTCCTGTATTTTTACATCGTTTTAACATTGAAGGCCATGCAAACAATGAACTAAAAATAACCAGTTTTCTTCAGTTACGTATGTGACTTTTGTCTCAAAATGTTTGAAATTAGTTACATTATTTAATTAAACAAAAAACGAATGCAATAACCCAGAAAATTGTTCCTGATTGCAATTGATTTAAATTCGAAAACAACCTTGCTTTTCTCCCCTCCTTCAAAATCGTTTTCTGTTTAATTCATCCCGAACATCCCTTCATTATTTTTTGTCGTCAGTCTTACTTCTCATTCTGGATTTACTTCCTGTTCTAGCCTTTTGATCTTTTCTTTATTCCATTGTTGATAGTTTCAAAGTTACGTTTATATTGCTCGTCAAGTATTCGAGTAAAATGTTTACAATGCGTGTCGGATGAGATATAATGAAATACGTCTTACTTTTTATTGCGACACTCTTTAATACGATTTCCTCCTCCTTCGTCTTCATGAATTATGTAGACAACTCATTAAATAAAGGTCTGTAACAAAAATACAGCAGTTGAAGCGACAGTGGTTTTAGTTGTGAGGTCATACTAGATAGCAATTAGAATTCAATTTTGTCATTTTTCTAGCCAGGTTGACTCTGATGACAAGAGAATCTGCTATTTTACCTATCACCGGTTGGTTTGAATTCTTCCTCTCATAAGCAATTCTTCGAATATTTCAAAAGCCTTCACTGAACTTTTCCATTTTTGACAGCTATCGCTACATGAATAACATTCAAACTAGCAAAACAATTTAGATATTTAGAAAAGACGCATTTTTTAAAAAAAATACCATTTCGACGATTTTCCTATACAAAGACGTTATTGTTACACCGACAAGACCTTCATTTCTTTGTTCAAGATGACGAGGTATATTTTCTTTGGATTATAATTGGAATCCGTTTAAATTTCAGAGTTTTCACGGAGCTTTTCTAAATTCTTGAACATTTCCTGGATTGTTAATTACCACATTGTTCTGCGTAATGAAATCCTTGTCGATTATACAGTTTTCAGTCCCTACCCATCCGCAACTATGCATATCTATTTACTTATTATTCATTAATTAAATGTTGTTAACTGGGAAACGAATGACTTGTTAATTTTGAAGCTTCAGAAACTAATCTACTCTCTTTTAATTGACTCGAAAATGTCATTTTACGTTCAATTATTATGGCTGATGCTAACCTCCAAGTAAGTGACTCAATTTGTCTTTGAACAATTTCCTTGTATTTTTTTTTCTCAGAATTTTTGGGAGTGCTCTCAGTGCTCCGATAAGTACTTGGACAACTGTCATTCTAATCTATTGTGTCTATTTTCATTCCCTTGTTACGTGTCTTAGTGTTTCACTGTTTTCTTTAAACGACTGTATTTTCTATTTTTCTGGGTTACGCCTCTCCTCGCCAGCTATGGTTTAAATAACAGGGCTGACTGGGATCACTTGACTAAAAGAATGAAAACTAAATAAAAAAACTAGCCTGAAAAGAGATGGACTCCGCCAGGTTATGTTGCTCCAGGCACAACACTTCTGCTTCTTGTAGCACATATGGTGAACTTACGACTCTCACAGGTTGCGGCACTCATGATATAAGTTTTCACAGGCACATTCTCTATAAACAACGTCTCCTTTATTCATGCATACTGTATTTAGATAATTAGCATAGTTATCATTAAAATGCCCTTCCTACCCATTACAGTATAAATTGAAGAACCTCTAGGTGATTACAAAACATTTATTTTATTGTGTTCTTTTGTGATAAAACCAGAAAAGTTCCTTATGTCATAGCATCAATAGTATTTGGAAAGAGTGGCGGGACGGTATGAATGGCAAAGTGTGTTGAAATGTTGATTGGAAGTTCAGGTTGAAAACATTTGTTGAAAAAGCGAAAGAAACTAAACTCGTAATGCCTGTGATTAAAAGAATCTCAGAAAGAACGAATGAAACAAAACGAAATAAAGTGAAATAATAAAAAAGAATCAATGAAAATGAAGGTAAATGAAACAGAAGAAGGATTTCTTTGTCAAGGAAATGACAATGAAAAAAGAAGTAATCCAGAGTCATAGATGTTTAGAAAAAAAAAAAAAGGAAGAAAATGAAGGCAGAAGCAATGAATGAAAATGAAGAAAGACAATGTAGCAAAAGAAAATGGAATGAAGTTTATTGGAGAGAAAATAAAATTATAACTACGTTAATAATATAGAGAAATATAATGAAGATTATTCAAGGGAAAAAAGAACACAATATTAAAACGATAACGGATACAAAGAAAGAAAGAAAGAAACAAACAAACAAACAAACAAAGAAAAAAACAATGAAATGGTGAAAGAAAGAATGAATGATTCGAGAAATAAAGAAAGAAATGGCAAAGTAAAGAATAAAGTAATGGCGAAGGAAGGAAGGAAGGAAGGGAGGGATGGAGTGAGGAAAAAAGAAGGAAGGAAGGAAGGTTTGCAGCAAGAAAGAAAGAAAGAAAGAAAGAAAGAAAGAAAGAAAAGAAAGAAAAATAAAAAGAAAGAAAAAAGAAAAAGTAAGATTGAAAGTAAAAAAGGAAAAAAAATGAGAGAAAGAAAAACGAAAGAAAAAAAGAAAGAAAAATAAATAGTGAAGGAAGGAAAGAATGATTGTCGAAATAAAATAAGTAATGGCAAAATAAGGAAGGAAGAAAGTAATGGTGAAAAAGGGTTTCCTTCCAGACAGAAAAAGAAAGAAAGAAAGAAAAAAAGAAAGAAAGAAAACAGAAAGAAGGAAAGAAAAAAGATTATAAGAAAGAAAAAGAAAGAACGAATAAAAGAAAGACCGAAAGACAAAAGACATTTAAATGAGAATAGTGTAAAAAAACAATATGAAGCGGAAAGAAAGAAAAAAGAAAAAGAAGGAAAATATTTATAATAGAAGAGAAAAAAATGAACATGATGCTGAAAGAAAGTAAGAACCCAAGAAAGAAAGAAAGAAAGAAAGAAAGAAAGAAAGAAAGAAAGAAAGAAAGAAAGGGAGAAAGAAAGAAAGAAAAAGAAAGAATGAAAGCAGACATTGAAAAAGGAGAAGGATTGATATTAAAATAAAGATTAAAAAAGAATAAAAGAAAGTATAAAATCAAGCAAACAAGAAATAAAAAAACAATAAAGAAATTACTGAAAATCGAGAAAAGACGATATATGATAAAAAGAAAGAATAAAAGAAAAATATATGAAGAAAGGAAAGAAACAATAAAAAGAATGAATAAATACGATAAAACATGAATAAATAAAAGAAAAATGAAAGAAAGAATTAAAAAAGAAAAAAGAAAAGAAAGAAAAATAAAAGAAAGAAAAATATACGAAAGATGAAAAAGATAAATAAAAAGTCCAAGAAAAAGAATGAAATAAAAAGTACAAAAAGTATAAGAAAAGGTTTTACAAAAATGAAAGAAAGAATGAGAAGGAAAAAAAAAAGCAATAGAATAAAAGAATCAGAGAAAAATAAAGAAAGAACAAGAGGTGAAAAATAATACAATTAAACAATTGGTAATAGACAAAGTTCCGGGAAGTAAGTAAACTATCAAAAGGACAGGTGTTTCGATCAGAAAGAAAATCTAGAATATTCCAACCGGACCAAGAGATTACTAACTGACCTTGTCTAGCAGGTGTTCGGAATTATTCTCTCTATGAAGACAAGAACCGATTCCATGAAACCTTGTGGGTGGGCATCCCGCCAACAGCGACGAACAGTCATTGTTGATGTTATATAACCACATTGCTTGAAGACAAAAACCTGAGTTCGCTTTTTATAGTTTTAAGGGTATTTTTTCTATTCATATATTCACGTGAATACACTTTGATACACTTTGATTGTATCTTTTTAAGTTTTTTTTGTGTTTTTTTTTTGTTTTTTTTATTGAAATAGCATAACGTTATCTTGGTACTGTTGATCGTCGTAATGTGTTTTTTTGTTTCTTTTTTTTCAATCCTGGATCCTACGCTGTTTTTCATCCTCATCAATGATCTCCTCGATGGCATTAGTTCTCAAATAGGCATTTATGCAGATGACATTATCATTTACTCCTGTCTTAGTAGCAAATCCATCAGATCCGACAAAGTAAACCTGACAACTACTCTTGAAAAGGACTTCCAATCAGTTGTTAACTGGGACAAGAAATGGCTTGTAAATTTCAACGCCTCCAAAACATACTTTCATTTAATCATCAAACACAGTGGAACGGATATGTTTATAATTCATTGCACATTGATACGGTGCCACCTAACGTTTTATTTTAGGACTTACGTTGTTTCTTTTTTTTTTTTTCTCGATGTTATCAATTCCCAAACAGCTACTTATGCTGATGAAACAACTATTTACTCTTGCCTTACTAGTAAGTTCAACAGTTTCGAGAAAGTAAAACTAGTAACTACTCCGAAAAAGGATCTCTAATCAATGGTTAACTGGGACAAGAATGGCTTGTAACTTTTAACACCTACAAAACAAAACTGCTTTTATTTCATCACCACAAAGAACCCTTGTCTGCCACTATGATGGCTGATGCTGAACTCTAGAAGAGCAACGCTCTACGCCTTCTTTGTGTCACGATTTACACTGACATAAAGGGGAGAGGCTATATTAAGTCAATGGCTAAGTCTCCTGCAAGGATGTTTGTTTCTCTGTGTCTCGCCAAAACTTTTTTATCGTCAGAATCCATTTTGCAGATTTATAAATCTACAATTCGTCTGTGTATTGAATACTGTTATAATATCCGGTCAAGTGTTCCTACTGTGCATTTCAAAATTCATGATAAAATCGAAAGAAGGGTGTGTAATGTGACCCATCCTTACCAGACATCTCGACTTCAGTAACGTTCTCACTAACGTGACGCGGCTCCCCTCTGCCTTTTCTACAAATATTTTCATGGCAGCTACCGGGATAATTTTTTTCCCTTGGTATCCCGACTATATGAATTTAACTTTGATACTAGATTGGCAACTAGGTCTCATCATTTTAGAGCTGGACTAGCTAGATGCAACCGCCAATTCTACTCAAACAGTTTTTCTCGCACTTCTTTTCTGTGGAAATCCCTTCCGATTTCTTGCTTCCCTGATAACTACAAACTTCAAATATTTTAATGAAACGTCCATCGTCTTATTTTGTTTTTGTGAATCCGTGTTTTGTTTTGTTTTTTTGTCCTTTTACACAATACAACCCGTTTTTGATCTTCTCATTGCCTTTCACTTCCACTCCCTGTAATTCCCTGTATCTTAGTGGCATTATCGCCTTGCTTGGAGTAGAAAGGTTAAAATATATTAAAAGACTAGCTAGGTTTACGTTTTATAAAACAAACGGAATGGAACGTTATTTGGAAAGTTGCAGTTCTCTTATTGAACAAGAAGTTATCTCACCTTTAACTCACACAGTCGCTGTCATTTACAGAGTTATCAGCTCTTAGCTTTTTTTTATTTACAAATATGAGGCCTTAAAATATTTTTTTGCTTTTAATATCTGCCTGCGAAAAGATTTTTGTTGAATTTTACCAATTTATTTTTTGTGAAAGAACAATTGGATATATACATTATTTATGGCTTTTACTTTACCCAAATATTTTAATATCTGTCTATATCTCTGAGATGAGTTATTATGATTACTTCATTTTCATTGCCATATTCACAACGTTTAGGCCATTGTACGCTCCGACCTCCTGCAGGTGATTGGAATTTCGAACCGAACACCTTATTTCGTCCATCGGGGTATGCTGTTCTAGTTCCATGTGCCATGCCTCTTGCAAATGTCTCAGTTATTTCCCTTTAACTCAACTCTTCAAGTTTGGTTCACAATTGATGTGGCCTGGTATTGAACTCACAACTCTTTTTCTAGTCACTGGATCTAACCAACGTCTTTATCCACTGGGCCATGTGTCCTTCTTTTCTTTGTTTGAAAATATTTTAAACCAGCAATTGCTTGGCAAAATAGATATTTTTCATATTTTTACAAAAGGATTTTTCTGTGATTGATGAAAAAATAGATAGATAAATTTTTAAATTAATGCCACATGAAGAGGAGGCATGAGGAAACAGAAGTGTTGTTCTACAGGAGGATGTTGAGGATACCATTGACTAAAAATGTGAGCAACGACGAAGGTTTAGAGAAAATGGAAGCAATAAGAAAACATATAGTTAACATCAGGAAGAAACTTCTAGAGCACATAAGGAAGGAAAAGTGCTTGGAAAATTTGATACTCACAAGATAGATTGAAGGCAAGAGAGACAGATGAAATCATTGCATACCCTATCTTGTGAGTTTAAGCAAATGTGTGGCAAAACAAGTTTTAGGAGAGATAAAAGAAAGACAATATTTTATTTATTAGAAAGTACAGGAAATAATAGAGAGCCATGGTCGTCCACGTCCTGTATGATCACAGCATATTAAAGAAGAAAATATAACAACAAGATAACGTTTAT